TGTGTGTGTGTGTGTGTGTGTGTGTGTGTGTGTGTGTGTGTGTGTGTATGTTGGGGAGTGTTATAGGATCACTTTTTTCAAATCTACCAACTTCAAGGTGTGAGCTAACTGGTACTAAACAGGGCAGGTTTAGTACCAGCTGATACCATTCCCGGCATCAGCACAGACCTGGTGATAATGGCAAAGGCCTCCCCCATCCTGTCTTGTGACTGCCTTGCCTGGAGACAGCACTTGAACATTTTGACCCTGTCCTCCCACTGTAAAGACTGTCTTAAACAGCTATCATTTCAACAGGCTGAAAATGCTCTGTACCATGCCCCCGTGATAAAAAGCATGAAGATGAGTTTCATGTTTTCCACAGTGCCCTTAATGGACTTCACAATGAAGCTGCTGAATGAAGCTGTAAAGATCAGTCTTTCTCAACAGCTTACTCCAGCTTTGTAAACTCTAATTTTCCTTTAAATTATCTCATTTATTTATGGCTACTGCAAAAATAAAGGGGAGATTTAAAAAATGAAGGAAGAACAATTGTTCAAAAATTAGTTCAAATGGTGGAATCCCAAATACAGTTTGTGTTCCCCCAACTCTTTTTTTTTTTTTTTTTAGTTCACTATCCATATATTTTGAATGGTAGAAGTGGCATTTCTTCTTCATATGATGCAGCTCGTAATAATTTACTAGATTGCCTAGTACTAGAGCTAGGTACTAACTGACTGGTAGAAATATGCCACCTTCTCTTTCCCACACTGTTGAGGCAAACAGCATTAGCTGTTGGGTATGACTCATTTTGTATTTTCTTTCATACTCAAACAAACATATAAACAAACCATAATTTTGGACTTTTTGAAACAAAAGTTGAATCACAACAAGCACATGATTCTGCAATCATATTTTATGCTATTACAATTAAATTTGCATATATAAAATAAAAGTGCATAAGTGTATATTTAAATAATTTGCTTTCAGCAGGAGTGTGTATTTAATGGAATGAGTGTACAAAATTTTGATAATAACTTAAAACAACAAACATTTCTTACCTTGCAGTTGTTGAGTGTGTGAAGGTGGGAGGCTACTCACAGTTGGTGCTTTGTCATCTAAATTATGCATGCCCTTGCCACCTGAAGGCTAAGGAGCTGTGAGTTTGAATTATTTCTGGGGCCAGTGAGATGGCTCATCAGGTAAAGGTGCTTGCTTCCAAGCCTGACAACCTGAGTTAGAGCCTCAGGACGCACACAGTGTAAGAAGAGAAACAATTCTCCTAACCTCCATTGAGTGCTCTGATACCCAGATCCCACCTACATAAATGAAATAAAACAAACAAGTAAAAACAGTGGGTGGCTCTGGATTAGTGGGTGGTTCTCACGAAACTGATGCCAAGTCATTGCTTGTCGCTGCCCTTACCTGTTGTCTTGGCTCAGGCTTAGGTTTTGCTCCCAAGATGGCTGCTGGCCCACTGTCAGAACCCTTGCATCTTCCTGGTGTTGGTCAGGGCTCTCCATTTTGATAATCTGGCCCCTAAAGAATACAAATTGTAGTGTGGTTCCTGGCTTCTCTCAGGGTGAACCGTCCTCTAGAGAGTAAGCAGAAAGAATCCATGGCTTTACACACCTAATTTTGAAACCTTCACCTGTTTTCTGTCACAAAAAAGGAGGATCAGAGTGGTTCTTTTTCATTTGTTTTTAACCACAGAATTATGAAGCTAACACAGTTATCTAAACCAAGAGTCTCTGAGTTAGGATTTGACAGAGGGTTTTTCTAATTGATGGCTATGATAAAGTGAGATACATTCAGTAGATACTTCAAACTTTCATTTTTTCCAAGCTAGTGAGATGGTACTAGTGAGGCTGGACAGACGCACCAAACCACTGATTTGGTCAGTCATGTGACCACAAAGGTCAAACACTCACACTTTACAGTGCACTGTGCTGCTAAGTGGAAGATGGTCCTCCAAGCACCAGTCCAGTAAATATGTACCTACTCATTGTGTCTTTGTTTCTTTCCTTTTTAAATTTTTGTTCATTCATTGATCTTATTCCTCAAAAGTAGAACCCTTCATTTATCACTCGATAGAAATGACTACATTATTTTTCTGGTCAACTGTAGCAGTTCTTATCCTAGTAAATAAAACATGAGGCATTTCTTCATACTACAGAGACATGGGCATTTTTATCTATTATTAATATTTTCTTTTTGTTCAACCTGAATAGAACCTCAGGCAGGCTAGGAGAAGTTCCACAGCTTCTGGTCTTGGTAGTTTTTGTAGGTCTAGCAAGTTGACTCCAGCCAGCAGTGGTAGCTGAACTTCTAGTGTTCACGATCTAGGACAGGCTTTGGTTACCAGCAACAGCTCTACGAGGG